CCCCGGCCCCCCCAGTCCTCTGGCTCTTCAGGGAAAAGCACACGCCGGGGTCCGTCCACGCGGACTACTGATGAGGGGCCTGCCCAGATGGTAGAATTATAGGAAGCGGAGAAGGTGCAAGTGATCATTCCCAGTTGGGAAACTACAACAGACCCAAAGATTCAACTGCTAGCCCTGTGGAACAGGAAGCAGTTGTGGACCAACAAGCGCTTCCAGCATTCTGTAATTCTCATGAACGACTTATGTATCACTTTCACACACCCTCCTTTGCAATAGTACTTAGTCACCCACGACAGGGGCACAGGGTCCCTGGTATCTGAATCTGACGGATGCCGAATGACTTGGGGGGGTGTGTGTGTGATGCTTCGGTTCCTTTTCTGGCCCCCTCTCCTCTGTGCCGTTCAATAACCAACCCCAGGCCGCCTCTGCAAGCCTGCCCCCGATGCCCCAGGCAGAGAGGGCTCGGCTCCACCAGATTCTCATGCTTTGCCTGCCTGCCTTGTATTTCTTCCCAGGCAAAACCCTCGGCACTCTCATTTTACCGAAGGGGGCTTGCTGGGAGCGGGCTGACCTGCTGAAGACCGCCAGGGCCCGTGCTCACCGCGGGCCACACAGACTGCATTTTATGCAGAGACAAGGCACGGTGTTTCCCACGCAACTGGCACTCGCTGCCATCACGTGGATGCCGACTCATCGGGACCCCGTAGGGTAGGGTGGAGCTGCCCCTGTGGGCTTCTGAGACGGCCACTCTTTCCATAAGCAGAAAGTTGCATCCTTCTCCCGTGGCGCAGCTGGTGGTTTTGAACTGCTGGTCTGGAGGTTAGCAGTCCCACTACACCACCAGGGCTCCCTCCCATCCAGGCTTAGACTGACCCAAAGATTGGGCGAGGGAGGCAGGCAGGCAGGGCTAGGTGGAGCACAGGCCCGTTTCAAGTGTGTGCTGCTGTGCCTATCACAAGAGTGGGCCCTCGACACTGCACCAACCACGGGCTCTAGTTCCGATGTACCCGTATGGTTCATCAGCTGTAATGAACGGGCCCGAGAAGACAGATGGTAAGTATGGGAAAAGCTAAGCTGGGATAGAGGAGGTGGGGAGAGAGGGGACATGAGTATCAAAGCTCCTTGTACTTTATGTGCAATTTCCCCGCAAACCCCAAACTGCTCAGAACTGTCAGGTCTCTGACAAAAGAGCCATGCGACCTCCCACTCAGGACTTTTTCATCAGCAACCGGCGGCGCTAGCTTGGCCACAGGGCACGTCCACCGAGAGTGTGTCTTACAAGGCGGGGCACGGGAAGATGTTGCAGGGCTCCTCCTCAGGGGTGGGCTTCATGCTGGGCTCACAGGAGCTGTCCGGGACCTCTTGATGAGAATTTCTGTTCACACAGCGAAAAATGGGGTACTGCGACCCTGCAACGACAAGGAGAGGGTCCTCAGGCTGGCCGGCCCATCCGAGCCACGGGCCGTCTGGGAAGACAGGCAGAGTGGGGACACGAGGAGCTGCTGGCCTTATTGAACCCCATGCTGAGGGAGCCCGGAAGGACTGAGAGGGTGGGGATCACCCCTGCGCCCTCCCTCTTTGATAAGCATGCTCACAGGGACCACCCATGTCCACGGTGCGGCAAGCGAGACCCAGCTTGTCCTCAGAGAGCTTGAACTCTACCGTGGGCACAGTTTGAATGTGCTCCGAGGAAGTCACAAACAGTGCTTGTAACAGTTTCAAGAGAACAAGGGTGTGTGTGTGTGTGTGTGAATGGCTCCAAGTCTCTAGTGGGTCAAGCTGGGCCCCAAGGCCTGGCTTGGGGAAGTGTGTGTGTGTGTGTGTGTGTGTGTGTGTGTGTTTTGGATGAAGGGCCCAGCAGACTGGCTTGGGGGTGCCAGGCCTGTGTCTGAGGCAGCGCCATCCAGCAAAGGTGAAAGTGATGTGAGTAGATTCAAGAAAGGCTGGAAAAACAGCTGATCCCCTTACCCTCCTTCCGTGTTCCTCTAATACAGAAGGGATCAAAGAGGTTTTGCTCATGGCACAGTGGGGTTGCTAACCTAGAGGGCAGGAGATCACAGCCACCAGCCCTGCCTAGGGATCAACACGAGGCGTTCTGCCCCTGTGAAGAGTTCCAGTCTTGGAAACCCACAAGGGCAGTTTTTTACCCTGGGTTATGGGGTTGCTGTGGGTCAGAATTGGCCGAATGGCCGTACATTTGGTGTGGAGTTTGGTCTGCTTCCCATGAAACCATGAGCTTCTCAGGGACAGGACTAGTTCCCGTACATCCCTGTAAGTAGTACAAACCCACTGCCATGAAGTCAGTTCATAACAACTCAGCAACTCTATAGGACGGAGTAGAACTGCCTACCCAACAGGGTTTCCGAGGCTGGAGCTTATGGAAGCTGACGGCCCCATTTTTCTCCTGGGGGATTTGAACTGCTGACCTTCCAGTTAGCAGTCCGGTAGTTCACCCAATGGGACCTCAGGGTTCTTTCTCTCCAGTGGTACTCACTGCCACGGGGTCAATTCTGACTCATAGTAACCCTACAGGATACAGCAGAACTGCCTCTGTGGGTTTCTGAGACTACAGATTTTTATGGAAACAGTAAGTGGCTGATGGTTTTGAACTGCTGACCCTGTGGTTAGAAGCCCAGTGCATAACCACTCTGCCTCCCAGGTGCCTCTTGTACAGGACCAGCAGGTGCTCAAACATGAGGACCATTGTGTGGATGGCACCGGAGCAGGCAGTGTTTTCTACTGCAGTACATTTGTCCACAGGGCCACTGTGAGTCAGGACGAACTCAATGGCGTGGACTTTTAAATCACAAGTGCCCGAGGTTCAAAAGCTATAGACTAGTCTCATGGACTCAGCAAAGATAAATTTATTTTGGATAAAACCAGACTTTAAGGAGATGACTCAATGCTAGCTTCCCTCTGCTGCCACCTGGTGGCAGCAATGATGTGTTAACAGTGGGTGTTTGCTATTTTTACTTTTTAATCATTTTATTGGGAACTCTTAGAGCTCTTAGTCATACATCAGTTGTATCAAGCAAATTTGTACATATGTTGCCATCATCCTTTTCAAAACATTTTCTTTCTACTTGAGCCCGTGGTACCAGCTCCTCATTTCCCCGCCACCCTCATGAAACCTTGATAAATTATAATTATTATTTTCATATATTACCACTGTCTCCCTTCACCCATGTTTCTGTTACCCATCATCCTGGATTTTGTGTGTGTTTGGGGTGGGTTACGCATAGATCATTGCAATTGGTTCCTTCTTTTGCCCTGACCTTCTCTCCCTGCCTCATGGCAACTCTACTCCCATAACTGTTGCTGTGTCGAGAGCTCTTACATGTACCGGTGTACATGCTTCGGTCTAGCTGGATTTGCAAGGTAGAACTGGGGTCATGATAGTGTAGGGGGGAAGCATTAAAGAACTAGGGGAATGTATGTTTTCTCAGTGCTATACTGCACCCTGGCTGGCTCATCATTCTTTTTGACCTTTCTGTGAGGGGATGTCCAATTGTCTACAGATGGGCTTTGGGTCTCCACTCTGCCCCAGCTCATTCGCATCAGCACGATTGTTTGTTTTGGGTCTTCTGATGTCGGATACCTGATCTCATTAACACCTCGTGATCACACAGCCTGGTGTGCTTCTTCCATGTGGGATTTGTTGCTTCCCTGCTAGATGACTGCTTGTTTATCTTTAAGCCTTTAAGATCTCAGACACTATCTTTTTAACAATTGTAAAATATTTAATTTAAACAGATTTTTGTTAGAGATTTATAATCAAGAGCAGTTGGAGCATCAGAAAATGGTGTGTAGATAGTGAAGAGGTTCAGATTGGAATTACTAATGCTAAAAATGGAGTAGAAAATAAATGCCATTAATCATGAAACACCTTCATTTACTCTGGATACCATAAACTCAAGGGAGGTTTAAGTGTTTCCTTAAAAATTGTTTGGATGAGTCATTGATCAATAGATTTAGTTGATATTTTGGCATCTCTTCATATATAAAACAGCACTATCTAGTGGATAACAATAGTTTTCCAATTTAATTGCAAATTCAGTAGAAGTAAATGGTATTAAATAATTATCTTAAGTAAGTATATCTTAAGGTTTGGAGAGGAGTGAACAAATGCATTTATCAAGCACTCAGAATTTCTCAAGCGGGTTTTAGAATTTATATATTTGGTCGTATTTAAAGTTAAGTTGTGCACTATATATTTATGGTATCATCTGCCCTTTGACTTTTTTTTAATTAAAAAATTATTTTATTGGGGGCTTGTACAATTCTCATCACAATCCATACCTCCATCGCGTCAAGCACATATGTACATTCACTGCCCTCATCATTCTCAAAACATTTGCCCTCCACCTCAGCCCTTAATATCAATTGCTCATTTACCCCCTCCCTC